GAGATGGAGATGTTTTACCAGACTTTGCTGTCATCTCATATATTCATATGGCACTTGAAAATTATGTTTTTAATCAATCTTTACTCAACAAAAGATTAACAGAACTGCAGCTTAACAAATCACCATTCCCTACCATAGCATCTGTAATTGATTTTCTATGTGCTCTTAGTCTGTCCCACCAAAACAGGAAAACATGACAGATTATATTCTTTAAGTATAGTTTAAATAAGTGTTTTACTTTGTATTTACAACAAATATGGGAGCTTGCTCCTGGCCAATTGCTTTTCGTCAGCTGAACCACAGTAATTCACTGACTAGATCATGAACATCCACTGAAGTGAAACCCTTCAGAACCACTACATATGCTCAGCTCCAGAGAAGTATTACAAGCACTATCTTGCATAGTGAAAAGAAAGTAAAAATTTCATTTAGTTAGGTTTAAGTTACACAGAAATCAAATATAATGTCTCTCACATAAGTTATTCCTAATGCATCTCGATTACCATTGAATTTATCACCAATACATGCTTGAAAAGTTCCTATTTTTCTTAAGTTAACAATGAGGGGGAAAAAAACAGCTTTTAGTATTTTGAAAAGAAGTCTATTTATATTTTATATATATTTATATATACATAAAATATATATATTTTATATATATTTATATATACATAAAATATATATATTTATAAATGTTCCTTCTTTATCGCTTTTCTCCAATTCTAGCAAAATCAGAAATAATGTGAAAACTTGACTGCAGCACTACACACTGCCTGCCTCTTAATACAAGATGTTATTACATCTACTTCAACTGTAAGGATAAAACAAAAGTATTATTAAAAATACAATTTAAACTTCTCAGATGTACGATATCTGTGCATTCGCACATTGTCAGATATTACAGACAGAAACCTAAATTAATGCTTTCCCTGCTACTTTACGCATGCACACTATTTTCATCTCAGTTTTCCTCCTCAGAAAAAGCAAACCCCTTTTCTGTCTTTGACGGTTTGATATGTTGGGTTTTTGTGGTAGGGGGAGCATACCTCAGGAAAGAAAAATTAAAGATGAAGGGAGGCACAAAAATACTTTAATACCTATGTGAGTGAGCGTAATTGTGAAGGCAAAAAGAGTCAGAGACCGGGATTACCATTGTTTTCAAGATTTTTTATTGCATGGGAAAGCTTTTTCTTTCCTGCAAGTCACTTACTATTCCTAAAACACTATAAACCACAAAATATCCTTAAAAAATCATCTTCCCTTAATATGGATTTTAATGAATGACAGTGTGCAGTGTAATAGAGTTGGCATAACCATTAGGAACAACACCTTGAGAAAATTGCTTAAAGAGGTTACAAACACAGGTATACTAAACGAAGAACTGATTACTTGAACACTTCCTAAATTTACAGGTTTATACTTTGCCTATCATCATGGTTTTCCCCAAGTTTTTTTTAGTTATTACTTCTCCACCTATTTCATCAACTGTTTTTAATAATCTACTATTATATGAAAGTATTTTCCCCTGAAACATAACATACATCTTAGCATCAGAAACTGTAATAAGTAAGTTTCAATTAACTTCATTCTGAGAAAACAAAAATACCAAACATGTAATTTCCAAATATCTCATAATGCTTACATCAGTTTCTGAAATCCTGCAGAACTGTTCCTTTATTCGTGGGAGCCACCAATTTTCAACTCTTTTCCTTGTCTCCAATCCATAGGTTTTTTCCCATTTCCCCGTCTCGCTGTAAATAGTTCTGACACAAGCAGGAACCAGTCTGCTCTGCCATTTAATTAATCCCATGAAGCCATTTAATTGTCTCTTCAAACATGAGGAACAAGCACCAACTGTCTGACAAACCGACTGCATTTTTAAGGTTATGATTTCTGAAAAAGACAAAAATATGTATTTCAGTCAACAATATATAATAGGAATTCAGTGGTTATTACAGTTACAAGAAATTTGGTAGCTGTGAAACATTTTAGCTTATCTGTCTTTTATGGTATGTGCATTTTATCACCGTATGTCTGAACAATAAAAGCATTTATTCTTTTAGCCAAGAGAATTAACTGTGCCCCTTGAATGGAACAAAACTGTTCTGTTAGATGTCTTCTCTAATAAGGGACCAATATTGCGTTCAATCTCCCCTAAGAGCAGGATCAGTTAGTTGAAGGTGCTCACCATCAGGAAGATGAACAGAAGAAGATGACTGACAGTGTTAGTAAAAGTTCGGAATCAAATAGGGACAAGGGGAAGTTGCATGAAATTATACTGAAATACTACTGAATTTGTCATCATTGAAAAGAGATGGGGGGAATGACTGTAATTAGAAGATTTCAACTAGACAGTCTAAACTGACTTGTGCTAAGGCTTCCTCTTTCAACTAAAACAAAAAAACAGCTAAAAGAACTCCTCAAATGCTTTAGAGCAAGTCTTCTGAAATAAAAAAAAACTACTCAATGTGAGAAAGATCAAATAGTCCACATGTTCAGGATCTGCCTCAGTAAGATATTTGCTGATTTTACTTCCTACAGTAGGAAATACAGCATTAAACAAATCCCAACCCCTACTCTGAGATTTCTTCCTCATCTTCACCCCTAATTCCTTAAAAAAAAAAACAAACAAACAAACCAAAACACAAAACAAATTAAATAGTTTCTTTTTTGTATCGGTGTTTTCTATCCTCTATGGCTGGGGTTTCTTTTCAATTTTTGGTCTGTACACTTGACTGTTGTACCAAGCCTTCTATTGCAGTCAGTTCATAACTTTCCTTGCAGAGTTACACCGGTAAAGTTTCTGTGTAGAGAAGCTCCATATAATAAATGGTTTTATTTATGCATTTCCCATACGATAGCAACATTATCAGTAGAAATAGCTGTTATAGCACCTAAATTAGGTCCCCACTAAACTAGTGAGAGTTATACTTCCTTAGAATCCACAACATATGCATACAGAAGCCCTCATTCCCTCTCATTACATACCTTCTTCTCACACCTTTCTTCTCTTTAGCTACCAAACAGGCACTTTCAAACATTTCTTTTTCCACTTTTATGTCTAGTGCAAGCGACATATTCTGGCGCTTTTATTTTTTTGTTGCTAATCTCTATAACCTCTCTCATTTGTAACAACAGATCTGAACTCAGGATTCCCAGCACAGATGCTCAAGTTATTGAAGAGACACCTAATTCCCCCCCCCATAATCTTATTCACTCATCTCAAAATCAGCAAGATAAGCACTGTTTGGCTTATTTTTATTAATTATTTCCTTATTACTTATGTCTTATTTCTATTACCTAAATTTATTTTACAACAGAAAGGAGTATTGCCTTGCAGCAGACTCTACTTTGAGCACTGCTGATTTACAAAATACCTATTGTAAAATACAAGTTATACACAAGTGAACCCTTTGATGAAGGCAGACAGAAAAGACACAAGGTAGACCCTTGTGCACAGCTCAGGAGAAACCCACCTGCCAATGTCACACCTGCCAGGGCACATGTGGGTGACCTCAGGCCCTACACATCATGCAAGCAGGGGTCAGAGCAGTGGATGTAAGCTGGAAAGGGGACACAGCCTGGGTCACAGTACCAGGGCAAACATCACTTAACCACATGGACTTCCAGGATGAGAAAGAGACCTCTTTCCTGCTCCTAGACACAAGATGCAACAATCAGCAAGTCACAAGTAGGGCCAAGTAAGGACATACAGAAGATATCCAAATACAGAAGATGTGGCACTAGGTGGTTTTGTCTTCCCAGTGCTGTGTGCATGGGACTAAGACAAGAGCCCACGTTCCCACCACAGCTGTAAGGCATTCCAGCCAGCACTGCGGGGGTCTTCAAAGCATCAGGTTACAAGCCAAACCTAAGAGCAAGTACTGACACAACAAGAGGGAATGGCTTTACACTGGAAGAGCATAGATTTAAATTAAATCTAAGGAAGAAGTTCTTTCCTGTGGGGATGCTGAGGGGCTGGCACAGGGTGCCCAGAGAAGCTGTGGCTGCCCCATCCCTGGCAATATTCAAGGCCAGGTTGGACGGGGCTTGGAGCAACCTGCTCTAGTGGAAGGTGTCCCTCCCCATGGCAGGGGGTTGGAACTGGATGAGCTCTCAGGTCCCTTCCAACACAAACCAGTCTGGAATTATATAAACTCAGCAGGTGTACAAAGAAGGGAGAAAGAAGCTGAACTGACAGAGGAAGAAAAGGCGAGTCCTGCTTTGGCAAGATACAATAAGTACACAGGAGAGGAGGCCTTTGCTGAATTAAGATACTGAAAACTGCCTGGTAAGGGCAAGCACATTCCCTTCACTCTGACACAGACAACCAAGTCCCTTTCGTTTCCCTGTGCCTCAAGTTTGACTTACAAAACAAACCACGTATCTCCCTACGCTCCTCCACTCCTCCCTGTAGCTTATTAACAAAGGCCCTGTGGGACTGGGAGCCGGCGGGGGAAAGAGCAGCCACAGACTCGACGGGAAGAGCAGCCATAGACTCGAGGGGAACGCTGCGGGGCACAGGGCCGCTGGCGGAGCCGGCAGCAGCACGGCAGGGGAAGCACCGGAGGGTGATGAAGATGAGCGGTGGCAGCCTGAGGTGAACCGCTGGCCTGACGGGACGGGTTACCTGCGCGCTGGAGCTGCCTCCCTCAACTACCACCCTTCGACCTGGGCGCCGCCATTTTGATCTCGTTACAATGGGCGCGCAGTCGCTACGACCTATGTAGCGCCTCCGCACCGCCAGTGGCGCATGCGCCGCGCCCACGCCGGCGGGTGGGCTGTCTCTGGAAGGTGAGAGTCCGCTGAAGCTCCGCCCAGCCCAATCCGGCCCCTCCCTCACCCTCCTTTTATAGATATCGCCCCGCCCACCCCGTGCCACCCCCTCCTTTTATAGACATCCCCTTCCTTTTATAGCTGTAAGGCCGCCATCCCTGCCCCGCCCCCTAATCTCACAGGCCCCGCCTCGCCCGCCGGGGCCGCCCCCCCTCCGGGAGTTTGGGATGTCCCAGCGGCATCAGTTGGAGCCCGTAGGGAGCTTGGTCCTTCAGTGGGGCGGCTCCACTCCTGCGCCAGGCTGGGGGGGCGACGGGGGGGGACGACAACGCGGGCGGGTACAGGGTGCAATTCAGGATCGCGCCATCCTCATGCGATGGGATGGGGACCTTCACCCCACCCGAGGCGTCCGTGGGGCACCCCCGGGGTGTTTTGGGGAGCAGGGGTCAGGTGTGCTGCAGGGTGAAGCGATGGTGCCGCAGACCCCCCAAGGTCTGCGGACGACAGCAGCAGGGGGTGAAGGCACCTTTATTGGGGGCCCCAAGCCCCCCCAACTAGCCGCAACCCACTCGGGGTGGTGGGAGCACCGCTGCGTCCCCTCCATCCTCTCATATCCATACCCCTCTCCACCCTCCCGCATCCCGGCAGGACCCTGTGCCCTCGGTGATCTCTGTCATGCCCCCCCCGGGTCCTGGTGCACCCCGTCGCATCCACTGCGGAAGTGGAGCCGCTCGCTCGGCCCCACCGGAGAAGGCCGTGTGAGGGCTCAGGGGTCCTGGTGTCCGGAGGGGTCCCGGTCTCCGGAGCGTGCACTGGGCGGTACTGGGAGGCACGGGGCAGGAAGCCGAGGGTCACTGGGAGGCCATAGGGGTGCCGCGGGGTGTGCTGGGCCGGACGTCGGTCGCTCGGCGGCGGGAGGCGAGGCAGGACCGGGCAGAGGGGCCGGAGCGTACCCGGGGAGGGGTTGGGGAAGGGCTGACCCCCAGTTGTGCCTATGGGGGCTATGGGTGGCGGGCTGACCCGCCGGAGTGAGCCGGGGGGACATGGGGAGGCCTCAGCTCACCGCACAGTGACACGAGGGGAGTTGGGGGCCTTGACCCCCCTGAAGTGGCCTCGGGAGGGTTTGGGTGGGTCTTAAGCCCCCACAGTGTGACCTAAGTGGGGTTCCTCACCCTAAGTGTGCCCATGTGGTGTTTGGGGCAAGCCTGACCTCCCCACACAGTGATTTGAGGGGATCTGGGGTGCCTGATCCCATCATTGTGCCCCGGGGGGGGTGTGTGTGTCACCTTCCTCCCATGCTTCCCCAAGGACCATTTTGGCATTTTGGGCTCCTCAGCATCTCCAGGCTGGGCTGAGATGGTTGGTTCTGGGTGCTTGGGGGATCCCCTGGACTGTGGGGTGTCAGGGCTGAGGGGCCCCCATTGCCTGAACCCATTGTGCCCCCCCCAAGGCCTTGCTGTCACTATGGTTCCCTGGTGCTCATCCCGCACCCAGGGATCCAGCTCCGGCTCCACACCGGGATCCGTGGGGCCATCATCGCCCCCCTCTGGCACCTCGTGAGTGACGGGGGGGGGGGTGGTGGTGTTGGGGGGGCACCCAGAAAGACCCCTTCAGCGCCCTGCCCCCCCCCCTCATCCCCGCAGGGACCTCACCAGCAGTGATGACTCCAGCAGTGACTTTGAGGCCACTCTGCGGCCATGCAGCAAACGGGGACCCCAGCAGGGGCCGAAGCACAGCCAGGTATGTCCTGACCCTCCCTTCTCCCCCTTCCATGCGTGGGTGCCGTCCCACGGCATCCCTGACCCCCCTTCCGTGTGTCTGCCCCCAGGTCAGGAAGCGTCCCCGCGTGATGGAGCCAAACGGTGACCCCAGCAGCACACCCACAGTCAACCCGGAGCCGAGCACCCTCTTTGAAGCCATTAAATCGGCCAAAATCGCCGTGGAGGTAACCCCAAACTGGTGCAGCGCTC